AGCACCTCAGGCCCCAGGCCCTGTATTTCTTTTCTTTTCTTTTCTTTTCTTTTCTTTTCTTTTCTTTTCTTTTCTTTTCTTTTCTTTTTTCTTTTCTTTTCTTTTCTTTTCTTTTCTGTGGTGTTCAGCTTGGGACCTTGATGCCAGGTCCGATGAAGGGGAGAAAGGAGGCTGGGCACAACCCAAAATAGGGGCCCATCCCTGCCCTCCAGGGAAGCCTGGAACTGTCTGTGAGCAGCTCCTGAGTCTCAGTGCTGCTGTCCTGGAGACCCCTCCCCAGTTGCAGACCCTGTGACTGGTCCTGACCCTGTCACACTTGGCAGGTGGCCTTGGCTGTTGCATTGTGTTGAGCACACACAGCTGACCTTGTCCCAAGTGCAGGAGGGTTTCAGATGCAAACTGCGTGGGGGCTGAGTCAAGTCTAGTATTATGCCAGGGTTAACACAAGCTTACGCATTTCAGTTGCTCCTGGGTTCTCCTGTGGCTTTTCAGTGTAGTCTCAACGCTTAGAGCCCTGGTCCTGGGCCCTTTGACCTCCATTGTCCTTGTCCATGCCAGAGGAGTAGGACCTTTTCCACGTGACTCCTGGCTGCTGGCTGCACCTGCTACCCTAGCTCACTCTGCTGGTGGCTCTTGGCAGTGGGCCTTGCTTGCCTTCCCTCGTTCTGGCCTGGCTGGGAGTTCAGCCACTGTTGAGTTCCTTGTACTGCAGATGAACATGTTTTTGGTTTCTCTCCCCAGACTTTCTGTTGCTCTACACTGTCTGTAGCTGTCTGTGTCACATCGTGCTCTACCCCGATGACATCCAGCTGGCCTGACTGATGCAAAGCTCTTGCTTTCATGGTTCTGGTTGATTTTCAAATGTAGCCAAGGACTTCTGATAAACCCTTGCCCAGTGGATATCATTTACCCCTTGAGGGTGGGTGTCTTCCTGAGAAATTGTTACTGTGTTTCTCAGCATTAAGATCCTTCTCTTTCCAATTTACTTGCTGCAGAGAGGATCCCCTTGTAGCACCCTCTCAGTCACCTTAGGAGAAGGCTGTGTAGGACAGTTCAGGTCGTAGGAGGAGCAACAGGACGAGATGTGCCCAGAAGTTTAGGAAAAACTTAACACATCTACCACTGGGTGAGGGGAGGGAGAGGGGAGGGGTTAAACAAATTCACCCTTGACCTTTAGAAACTCAGGCTGGGAGAAAAGGTATAAATATGCAAAATGGTACTTTTTTTAAAAAAATAGAAAAATACTCTAGTGTTTCTCAATCACCTTGAAGAATATTATTCCAGGAAATTGAATCAAGCTCGATGGGTGAAGTAGATTGGCTCCCCCAACCCACCTGGGCCTGGGACTGAACACTCAAAGATTCTGAAGCCCAGTCTTTTTGGTCTGTACCAGCCTGCTCCCTCAAGGTGATGCGTCTGTGTGAGCCTGAGTCTGATGTGAACTGGGTTTCAGTTTTCTTTGGCCTAGATCTGTGGTCTGAACCTCTCAGGCAGAAAGAGCAGAGCTTAATGGAATGCTCGGAGCCTGGGCGCCAGGTTTGCGCTGGTCTGGGGCATTGTGTCCTCACTGTGACAGCAGGGCATGTGCCAGTGCTGGTTCCCTGGCTAAAGGCAGGGACCCAGCCTGCAGTCTTGTCAGCTGCAGCCTCAGCTCAGTGATCTCATACACACACACACACAC